TTTCACCTACATCTTACACACTGAACCTTTATATTGAAAAGGACAATGTACATTAGTTAACATGCATACTTCAGTTTAAAATGTAAATGTGCCAGATTTAGCTCCGCAAACTAGTTTTCATCAGCAGGTTGATGGTAAATCACACAAATACCAAATATAGACCAATTTATGAAAAACATATACACAGCCAAAATCACATGGAACATGATTAGTCCAAGAGTATACTGAAGCAATATAAGATGTAAGTATATATCTCCTCTTATGTGAACAGGGTTAAGCATTCAGAAGTAAAAACATATATGGTACTGAATGCTGTGTCCTTTCAAATCAATCTTTATCTGCCCCCCCCCCATCCCGCTCTGCCTGACCCATCTCCTTATGGTCTAACCCCCGACTTCCTGTTGTATTTTAGGGGAAAGCTCAGTTGGAGCGTGAGAATGTTTTCACTGCAGGCTGTCGTGACCCAGTGGTATTTGAGGCAACATACACACATCAAATATTTCAGTTTTAAACCTCACCCTGAGGCAATGATACAAAGCCTGGGATTCATCAGGGATCATTAGAATTTTTCACATATCATGAATATCTGATTGAGTCTGACTGTTCTGACAAAAGAGACAATGCCAGACTGATTGATTTAGTAGATTGTACTCCATATATGGTAGTGTTTTTCATTTTCAACTAGTGGCATTGGTAATTTCCCAAATTAGGTTTAAGAGTAAGACAAGAAAAAAGATTATATTTTTCAGCAATTTCTTAACAATACGAGTTTGGCAAATAGTATAATGTATAGTTGTAGTATGCCCAATCGTATAAATCCTTGTACCAAATACATTACTGCATGAGGGCGTAAACACACTGACCAGTTTGATCAGGGCTTCACTGAGAGTATGAAAGTATTATAGCAGCCACTATCATTATAGCTTTTCTACTGCTCCACAGCTGTCAGTTATCATGTTATTTAACAATGCCCCCGAAACCAAAAATCAAAAAGCAAGTTGGGGTGTCAAAACAGACCTGATTTTAAAGGGGGGCGTAATAGCTGAGCCTCCCTTGGGTTTTTGCATGATAAACATCTCCCAGAGTTCTCCCACAGCCAAGCTGGCTCATGTCCAAGACTCCCAAACTACCGTCCCCACATGGCAACATGTCGCTGACTCCAACTACTTTCAAAATGACAAGACAAGACTCTGGATTTAACACAGATATTCTCTTAAGTGAATTCAAAAAGGGTAGATACCCATGTGATACCAGAGGCTAAATAAAGTACTCACATCATTGCTGATTCTGGGGCATTATTTTAGTGGTTACCATAAAACTTAAGACATCTGGCCTCTAAATTATTTCCGGTGCTTAGTTCACAGATCAAATATTAGTTTAATCGAGCAAAGTCACGACAGGAATGGCCATACTGCTGCGGTGTGCAAGGGAAAGCAGAAATGTGGCAGACAGCATGCATATGGAGAGTGTGCTGGGAAGATCGTAAATAGACACTAATGTTTAACCAAAAGTAATGAAGGAAATACAAGATTATCACACAACTATCAGACAGGACTCACAACTGACACATCTGTTCTGTTTCTAGTATATGTTATCCACTGTTCAGAGCAAGCAAAGACTAAAACAGATTTTTTTTTTTTTAATTATAGTGAAGGCAGCCACAAAGTTGTCTAATATGAATCTTGGGAAGAAATACATGCAGATCTAAGTTAAGGAGAGGGTACCTCAGAGGTAACCCTCAAATTACACCACTATGCTTATTCTTTAGTGGAATGTAAGAAGTCTGATTGCAATGGACAAGAGTTTAAAGGCTGTATCAACACTTTAAAAACAAAACCAGATGCCACATGTATACAGGAAGCATGGCTCAAACCAGCTTTGGAGTTTATTATAAAGGGATATTCCAGGATACACAAGGAGAAAACCAGTGGAAATGGTAGAGGGTGTGCGATATTTATCAAACAAGGAGTAAAGTACAGACACTTAACTAGGGATAATTTGCTGAAGGGCACAGAATAAGAATCAATTCCCTTCAGTATCACCATAGTAGTTGGAGGGTATTGAAATGCGGAACAGTTCCGCACACACATATACATATATATATACAGTACATATATACGAGAAATCTTGTGTAACTTGAAATATTCTACATGGTAAATGTGCATGTGTAAAAACTTAAAAGTGTTTGAGGCAATGAAACCCATTGGTTTTCTTAAGAAGTCAAGTAATGTGGGATAAGAGGGTGGGTGGGAAAGTGGCAAAGCTAAGGGAGAGTATTATGCTTGGGCAATAAGTTAAATGGCAGAGGATATTGGAGTACCCAAGAAAAGATATAGTGCCTCGTCCAGTAACTCCCACATGGCTGTTTACCCTGTCTCCCTAGATTTTTATAGTCAAGAAATAATAACAAGATGAAGGAAGAGGAAATTGACCAGGTTTGGTTGAGGAAAGACCAAGAACTACACATAACACATTTCTTCTAATTTATTCAAAAAACCTGAGAATGGAAATATAGGTTTTACTTTGGTCATCCAAATTACGTATAGCTGAGATGGAATATGCTCAAAATCATTATCAGCATTAGTGTTATTTAAACACCTGCCATCCTCAGATGAGACATACATATATATGATAAATGAAACGCTATTGAAACTATATCATATGAAAAAAAGAGGTTAGGTTTATTTGGATCCCAGCTCACAGGGGCATTGAGGGGAATGACAGCAGATTTGCTAGCTTAACAAGCTTTATAACAAAACATGAGTATAGATGCAGCATTTGGTAGAGCTGAGGAAATAAAGCAGTCATAAAAAGTCACACCCCGAAGGCTTGGCAAAAGCAATGGAATGAGGGAAACAAAGGCTGTCATCTTTATGAAATACTGACAAAAGTGAGAGGAATGAAAGCAACTGGAAAGAAAACACCAGAGGGTAAACACTCATATTACAACTGAGGTTGGGACACACAGGCTCAAACAAAACAACGCACTTAATTGGAAAACAAACAACAGGGCCGTGTGAATGTGGGGAAGAAGAATCTGTAGAACAGAGAGAAAAGTAGGAACTGTAGAAAATGTGGGGTGGGAGTTCTGAATCTTAGGATATTGTTCATCATTAGGGAAGTATGATAATTGTTTGGGGGTTTAAAAGAAACTGGATAAATAAAGAGAATAAATGTATTTTTCTTCTCCTCTAACCCGCACTCAGCTCACATAACATATTATGTAAAGAAAGAAAGTAAAGGATATATATCCAACTACCAGAGTGGCTTCAGGAAAGGTAGAAAATACACAATAGATTCAACTGTATGTTCGGAGCATAAAATTAGGAAGGCACAAATAAACAAAGAAAAGGCTGATATAGAGAAGGCATGCGATATGATGTGGAGAGGCTACGCAAACTAGGTATTAATGGTCAAATGTATAGATGGATAAAATTCATAAAGAAACTGCAGAAAGCCATTATGAAGGTAGACGAGTATAGTCAGTAGAGTCGAATTCAATACAAATTCAATGCAATGAGATTTTGTACATATTTTTAAAAAAATGTTCCTAAATCTTTGTTTTATTGCTAAAATGTTCTTATTGATCTCTTATTTCATGGCTTTGAT